GAAACCTATAACATAAAAAATTTTATAAATCTTTTGCTATTAAGAATTAAGAATATTTTTGATTATATTTAATTCAAACTTTGTCTTGTTTTTTTTATTAAATAAATTCATTTTTATTAATTATGCAATATAAGAACAAATAATTTTTCAGTATTAATGACTAATACAATAATACAGGACCAAGATAATGTAGATTTTCAATAATTGAAACTTTAACTATCTCTTAACATATTATTCAAAAATGCAAAATTAAGATAATATAGTATATTGTTGTTAATAACGAATGCCAGATTAATGAAACTATCAGTGTAGCAAATTTATTTTCAATCTCCTGTCAATTTACTATGCTCCTTAATGTACAAGGTAGGACATGTATGTCCTGATGAAAAAATACTGAGATTTTTGAACAGTTTGATAGAAAAGCTATGTTTGAAAGTTTAATAGAGGGATAGTTGGCATTCAAGAAGTGTGACAACTTCAAACAAGTATTTGGTCCCAGATTAATAGCTCTGGATGTACCGGAAATTACAGAAGCAGTATTGAATGATCCCCATATAATCCCAATTTAAACCCCCTAGACTTTGCAATGTGAGTGGACAACCAAAGATAAAGTTTGTGTGACTCCAATGGAGAACCTATAGATTTTTTAAGACTGAATCAGAGATGCAATGAAATTTTTTATTTGAATGAAAAAAGTTTGATTTGCGTGACGACGACGAAGAATACGACGACGACGACGACGAAGAAGAAGAAGAAGAAGAAGAAGAAGAAGAAGAAGGTCGGTTTGTTACAGAAATTTGTTTTTATTTCGTTTAAATCGAAGGCGTTTTTTTGTTTTTTCCCCCAATTCGTTATTTTTCTTCCGAATGAGTGATTTGGACGTTGCCTCAGGACAGTTTTGGTGGGGATGTAGTGTACCTCCCGGGACTTGTTCCGTCTTCTCGAAAGCGACTATCCCGAATTGGGTCTGGATCCCAGAATCGACAAAGGGTTCAAATTTGCGGTAAAACTAGGATTACGGCACGTTGCCGACAAGTGTGCTCGAAATGTTCGAGACCTTGCACAAAGTCGTTTATCGCGACGATAGGAAATCGTGTGCAATGAGATGTCAAAAATGCCGGAACAACAGTTCGGCGTTCGAAGGAACTTTCGAAGGCAAAGTCGGCAAAATTCCCCGGAGTAGCATACTGTCGTTTGTGTGGCATTATCTAGCGTTGGATTGCTCGACTACCGTATCGGCTAACGCTGCCGGAATTTCTAACAAGGCCGCCATCGACTGGTCGAACCGCGTCCGATTCGCGATGCTAGTAGCTTTGCACAATATCCTGTCGTTCAAAATCGGAGGTCCGGGAAAAACTGTCGAACTGGACGAGACGGTTATCTGTAAGCGCAAGTACGAAAAAGGCCGTAAACTTAACAAAACGATCGCGACGCTTCTGCTTCTGATGTTGCCAGATGTTTTTCCCTTATGTCATACTTGCTTTATTCTTCATAAATGCTTAGCACCATATGAGGAAATTTATAAAGATCTTTTAACTAGAGGCAAGCTATCTAAAATTACGTACATTTTGCAAAAGGTAAAGCATGGATCTGAAGATAATGCAGAAAAATGCTCAGAGGATAAGGATAACTTGCCGTTTTCTTTTTGACAAGTTATCCTCGGTTAATAGTGCTTTTAGTGATAACGAAGAAAATATTATTTAATTTATATTAATATGTACCACTTAAATATCTTTATTAAAATTTTCTTATCTTAATTATGAAAATATAATAGCATGTTTTTTAATTTTTGGAACCTAACCCTCCTTTTCGTACTAGTTCTTTGTTTCGCATAACACGGCATTTTTTTGGAACGTAACTACCGTGTTATACGGGGGTTACCTGTACTTTAAGCTTTTTCAGTTGTCGTTGTTCTAAACGAATTAAATTCAAATTCCACTATTGGGTTATTGGGCTTGGATGGATCAAAAAAGTAGCCAGAAGTAAATCATCGGGGGCTAGAGAGGCAAGCTGATAGAATTACGACTGGTACTTTTCTCTTTCCTAGTCAGCAGTAAGAATATTTGCTACAGTTTAACTATTAAAAAATTACAATAGCTGATATTATATTTCGGCAGAAGCAACAACTTGATCTAATAAATCTGAAATGTCAAACGTGGAAGGGTTGCACGCATTGGTTTTTAAAGTAAAATTCCTCTACCAAGAATTAAATTTGTTGATCTCGCAGCAGAAACAAAGCATTTACCTCACCCTATCTTTCTGTTGGTAATTTTCATCTGAAGCTAAGGTGTCGTTTTTTTTTTTTGGTATTTAATGTTTTTAGGGGTAGGTTCTGTAATACATTTATTTAAATTTCATTCAAATTTACTCCGACATAGCCTATAATAAAATGTTGCTTCTTTGTTTTTCTAATGGTATCCTATATATATGCCCGATTTCTCTCTTCGTTTCCATTGTCTCCGTCATTGGGCTGCAATTTGAAAAAATTGTAGACCTATAAATTCCCACTGTCGGCTGTCTGTCCATTTGTATGAAATTCCGATGCAAACCGAAAGTCAAATTATTTCAATTTAAAACTTTTCCCTCGAAAGCAGTTAACGCGTGGTTCAGAATTTTAAAAATCAAATTCGTTAATTTTCTGTGATTTTCTATGATTTCAAAAATGTTTAAAAATGAAGAACATTGAGATATAAATAGAAGTGATATGCTTAATGAAATTAAAATATTTTGGCGACATTTTTCGTGAAAATTCATTATATACAATTTCAATGCAATATTTAAGCGTCATACACAAGTTTCCAAATTTGTATATAGTTTTATACATCTTATTAATTCTTCCAATTGCTACTGCTTCCTCAGAGAGTAGTTTAACTAACTTGTAAGTTAAATGAGCGCCATGTCTGCGACATTTTTATAACAACTGTTCGCGTAAGGAGCGCTAGTCTAAGGAAGATTTATGAGCCAGTCTTTAATCTTACGATGCATCACCGCCCAGGGTTCATGGTGACAGGATACTCTACAATGTGACATACTAGTTGAGATTTGATGAAATCTTTCATTGGTCAGTTTTCTATAGAAGGAGAGTCAAAAGATTTCTTACAGAATCATAATGAACAGATTTTATTGAACATATATGAGAAGCAATTATATACTGTATTAAAAGTGTATTATAAAATATATATGAAGAAACGTATCATGTACTGTACAATACGTTTGTTCAACTGAATGGGGACAAGGCAGAAGTGATTAGCGACCAGGTTTAAGGCAGAAGGTCACATAAACTTTAGGATGGTACTGCACTTATTGGTTTTTATACTGCTGTACGTCCCATTAAAGAGCATTCAGATATTTTGAAGCAGGGACGTTCGCATCTTTTCAACTAGTTCTTTTGCTGTATTTCTTAGAAGTGAAAGCAATGTGACTGCTAGATATAATGTATTTATTGGTTATCCGATAGAACAATAAAACTGATGGTATAAGAATGGATACCATATGCATTGTAAGTAGGCTATAGCAAAATTTTGTGATTATGAATTTTAACGTTTCCAAGTGTGTTATAAGTTACATAGAGCTCCCAAGCCATTAAAAAAAAAAGAGGACAATCGAATACCATCAACAACTTCTCGATGATCAAGATAATTCGGATAAGGGAGAATGACGTAGCAATTCCAAGTGTGTTCTCTTAAACGGACTCTACTTTATAAAGAAACAATACCGTAATGTGGTAAACTAAACCACGCAAAATCCATTTAACACACTAATTTGTAATCTGGTCCTAATATACACTATATACATATATGAGATTTCCACATATCTCACTCAATTAAACTGAAGGAAAGAAGGGTTCGCATTTACGATTATTTTACAAAAAGTGGTAATAATAGAAAGCAGACAGAAAGCTCTATTACTAAATAAACCCACGAACCGCCTCTCATCTTCATGGTCTCGTATATTTATAAGTATCTATAAAAATTACACTCCGTTGCAGAAGTTAACGTTAAGATCTCTCAAATAAAACTATTCATTGTAAACTATAAAAAAAACTTTGCGGTTATTTGCGAATTGATTTAAAAAAGTATAATCACAAATGCAAAAATTGCTTGACAAATTTAAAAATTGAGAAACGAAATCGAAGAAAACAGCTAATTAATCGTAATCAGGGACGACGCGAGTCGGGTTTAGGGCGTTTAGAGAGGTTAAGTTTAAAAAAGTGCGCTTGTTTGGTTTCACACAATTTTAGAACTAGATCCCGCAAGAGTTTATGCCGGTCCCGATTGCAACAACGAATGGAAAGATTTCATAACAACACAAATAGAATAGTCTACATTATTGAAAGTAAAGAAGGCAGATTGCATGAATTAATATAAATATTTCAACGAAATAAAGACGAAATATAATCATGCCTATGTAATTGTTAATTATTTCTTAGATTTCTAAGATTGATTCCGGTTGATAAAGGACAATGTTAAATTTCAACTTATGAAATATCCGAACGACCTAACGCTTTATAACCACTATATTATGCAGCCGGATGGCCGAGCGGTCAAGGTGGCAGCCTACCGCTTCGACTGAAATAATTAAATCCTAAATATGCGGCCGGATGGCCGAGCGGTCAAGGTGGCAGCCTACCTCTCTGGGGGACCCGGGTTCGAATCCGAACTGGTTGAAAAATCCCCAGGAATTTTTCGGGAGTTGGCCCGTTCGGATGTGCCGGGCTTCGTCTCTTACCCGGCAGCCCCATTGTCGGTCTGGCCGAACTCATAATGGGCATGCAAAAAGAGGACCTCTTAGTGCCCACAGGGCGGAAAGAGTTAAAAAAAACCACTATATTCTCAACAATTTAATCGTACAGAGTTCGGAATTTTTAACATATATTTTCCCGTTAAGAACTTATAGGAAATTCTCAATATCAGAAAAGTAAAAGCAGATTTCGCAATACCGAAATTCACCGGGAGGGACGCAGTTAGCGCTACTAGGCGTCGTTTTATTTACTACTGGCGCCATCTAAAGTCGGACTTTGGTTTTAGTCGATTTTTTCATTTTGTATCGGGCGGATTTCGACAGTGGCGTAGACTTCGTTTTTGGCAATTGTTTGTCGTCGTCCGATGGAAACCGGGAAAGAATAGTTTTTCGGATGCGCCTTTCGACCGGTCCAGCCAATTGGCCTTTTCTCCAGGTATGGTATTTACGTCGAACCGGTTGTGTTTGGCCCGTTCCCTAGCTGTGGCTATTTTATTCGGACTTAATCGACGAATCGTCGCCGGTTCCTCCGATGCCCGTAAATAAATTCGTTCGGATTTCGCGTTTCATTCTTAAATTAAATTAAATGGAATTTCCACTTTTTCCGTTTAAATAATTATTGTCGGGATGACGCCATCGGGCAAATGTCGACGACGGAAATTCTTTTTCGTTTTATTATTAAACGATAGTTTCTGCGCAAAAAATAAACGTCACGTGTTACACTCGATATGTACCGTTTAAAGCTTTCGCTCTTAAAGTCGATCGGGCGAATTTTTTTACTTTCTCAGTCGAAATATGCTAGGAGAATTTCGCCAGCACAACTACAGCTGTAGAGAGGCGAGAATATAATAGAGATGGATTGCACGGAACCCGGCCGAGAAATTTTGTATTAACGAAGTGTCTTATCGCAAAAGTTTTCCATTGGGAAATGACCTAAATCGATTAAAGCGAAAATTTTAATCGTCGATCAATGACGACAGAAAATTCTCTCGGCGATAAAAGAATTTTCTGTAAAATGTCGCCTGTGCCATCACTTTGCTTAATAAAAATCAATGATTTTTGCAAGAGATTGTTATTATTACACACAAGTAATTGTAATTATATTAAATTGCTCATTACATGTTAGGTGTGAGTAAATCATTCTAAAAAAAAAAGTTATTTATTCTGGATTTGGTTCTGTGCTGTTCTATTTATTTATTATTATTATTATTAATGTTTTATAATTATTTTAATTTTCTACTGTGCCCTCATTTTTATGTTTTATAAACTTTTTATTTAGTATTGGTCGGATGCCAAATGGTGATTCTCTTTGGTGGCTCAAGAACTTTACGGTTTCGTGACAGTAGTCTGGAGAATAAAACTTTTACTTTGCCGTATATTGCTAGACTGTGTTTCCAAGCTTGAAATTGGAATTTTAATTAAGTTTGTATGGTGCTCTGAAAAATTATAACCTGGCTACTATAATGATGGGAATTCGACTATAACAATAATTTTAGAAGTGGAAAATAAGATAAAGTTTCATAAAAACTAAGTAGAAATTCAATAGTACCCCTTGTTAGATCATTGGATGAGTCTATTACAAAAAATTTGCATATTTATAAAAAAGCACCTATTAAATTGCTAAAAAAATATAACTTCATGTATGTCTAATAGTTGAAGCTGGAATTATCACAGCATATAAAGATACTGAACACAGCTTAAACCCTTTTCCAGCAATTAACTTTAATTAAAATGAACATTTTTGGCCTGATTAATAAACCTTTGCCATGTTTTTAAATAGAGATTCTACTTTTGAATAGCGATATTACTAATAAAAGATACTGTTAGAATTTAAAACGCAACTTTTATCGTAAAAGTAGAATCTGTTTAAAAACCTGATGGAGTCTTAACGATCGGGCAAAAAACATTTCTGGCAATTAACTTCAATAAAACAAAAGTCTGTAAGGTGTGTTCATTGTCTCTACATATGAAATACCTCATTTACCTCATGTGAAATAAAACATTTTTTTTCAACAAAATAAGTTTTAATAATTAATTTGACTTTCATTATGCTGAATCAAATGTAAAATTCTGTTTGGCATGTTTCTAACATGATTGTCCCATGCCATTTGAATAGCTGCTTTCAGCTGTTGGACTATACCATATTATTAGTGATGTAACGAATATTCGGTTACTATTCGGTATTTGGCCTATTTTTCGCTATTCGGCCGAATACCTAAAAACAGGAGTAAGAAATAACAGAAACACAGTAAATTAATCATTTTGGTATTTAGATTTAATGATGTCGGGTTAGTGTTGTTTGTTTATATTTATTTATAACTTATAACATGCACAAAATAAAAAAGAAAATAATATTAGTCACATGTATTCGCAATTTATAATTACAAAGATCAGCAGACGTACACACTTATTCGTTAGAGAATCGTCGCACATCTGAGGTCTGACCCTGCCTATCCTTCTTTTTAAGCGTTCTTCCCTTTCTCTTTCCTCTATCACTCTAGTCCACGTATGTGTACATCAAAATACGCGCTCACGATACTTTTGATTTGTCACTTTTCTGTCGTAGATTTCCAATTTTACAATTATGTGACTCATAGCCTGGTGATAACGAAGAAAAGAGACAGATAGGATATCAGTATAAGTCACAGTTATGATTTCACAGATTCGAGACAGCTTGGTAGCACGAACAGCCTCAGGCTTTCGCCCGTTCACGCTAAGTTTCTTTCATTACAAGCATTTAGCTTTCCGAAGTCTATGACAACAATTGTTTGACATTGACGACCATGAATTTTGTGCCAATAAGCTGCCTTGACTTGTTCGATTATGTTATCAACTCAATTTTATATTTATTTTCACATTTTCACTTTGTGGTCCTTCTCTCTTCTTTTTCTGTTATTTACACATGTAGGTCATTTCAATGTTATCCACATTAGATATAATTTATCATATACAGTACTGCCATGATGCTCTTGTCTGTCCACTACAACTGTCAAGAATTAATGTGATTGACAAAGCGTAGTGACAGCGGGCCAGTAGAGAGCGGGGTCCTTGCCATAATGCACTTTGCGCGCCAATTTTTGTACGTGCGTTAATCAAGCCGAATAGTTTGGCCGAATATTCGGCTATTCGGCCACGCTTCTGGCTGAATATTCGGTATTTGGCCTGAGGCCGAATATACTATTCGTTGCAACACTACATATTATTGATTACTGTCATAAACTTTTTGAACTAGAATTTTCCAGGCATTTTCTATTGGGTTGAGATCTGGTGAACATGGTGGAGGGAACATAATTGGAATATGTTTACTTGCAAATCAGTTTCTTGTGCTGGTGTTTGTGTGAATGGAGGCATTGTTGTGCATAAATTTTAGAGAAATATTGCCATGAACTTCAAGGAAGGGGATTAAAGTCTGTGACACGCCGAAGCAATTTCTCACCTTCGAGACATGTCTCTGAGTGACAAAAGCCTGTTTACATTTGGCAATGTTCAGACACACAGGGAAACAAATTGTTGAAGTCATACAATCAACATTTCTTACATGGTAATTGTACATTTTTGCTAACAGCGTGAAAATGTGTATCTTTGTGTATCTAGTTGTGATATTCTAGTGTGGTTATACCATAAATTGGTTCTTATGATTGAATTAATAAAATTAAACATATCCTATTAGTCATCAAAGATGAACTATCCTCAATTTTTATTTTTGTGTTTAAACAGGCACAAATGCCAGCCTGTGCTTACGATTGGAACTTAAAGCTCCCCAAACCATCAAACTGTCCTTTCCACTTTCTGTCCATCTGGTCCATCCAGATGCCATGTTTTTTCATCATTCCAGATCAACAAATATCTTTATATAAATTAGTAGGTCTAAAATGATAAGTCAAACTATATAAGAAACTACTTTCTGATGTCCAATCTGTTGCCCTCAATCCTCTACTGCTGGGCAAATTCTGCATGCCTTGCCTTGTCAGTTGCAGTGATTGCTGGTTCCAGCTTTTTCTTCTTCTGGACAATATTTGGAATCCAATTTAACATGTTTCTTTTTGTGTCATGATCCACACACAGAGTTCAAATCTGCTCACAAGATGCCAAAGAGTTTGATGCTTTGCATACAATGTTATTCTTGTCTCTATCAGACAGTTTTGGTTTGCCTCCAGAACTTTTTTGTACCATATTCTGATGGATTTTTCAAATAATTATTAATGACACGAGTGACCAGCTTAATTTTCTGGCAATTTCTAGATTGGTCTGTTCACTTTCATGAAATGCTTCAATTTTTCCATTTTCTTCATCAGAGAGCATTTTATCATGTGGCATTTTTGTCTCAAATAATATTATACACATGTCTATTACATAATAAAATAACATTAAACTCTTAAGCAAAATCTGGAAATCAATACCTTTATTTTCAGTGATGTTACATTTTTTCAGCAATTGTAATTGGTGAATATGCAATTTTTGTTTTGTAATAGACAAATCCAATGATATAACAAGGGGTATGATTGGGTTTATTGGGTTTGTGTAAAACTTTATCATAGTCTTTATTTAAGTTATTGTTATAGTCAAATTCCCATTATTTTAGTAGTAAGGTTATAATTTTTCAGAGTGCTGTAATATGATTTTATAGGACGTTTCTAAAATTTTTCAAGTGCTATTTTCTAAATAAGAGTACAAAATATTCATACTGATAATGAAAGAAACTTGTCACATTGATTTGATGTTGAAACCCCATTGCTTTGCACTAACATAAGCTCTCCTGCAAAATGTTTTGAACTTTTTCTGTGTAAGAGAAGGTGATAGCCTGTTGTTGAGATTTTTCTTTCTTTTCAATGTCCTAAAATGACATTGAAAAAAACAGATAAAGAATGGATGATGGTGTTAGATTACAAAGCCTTATACCCATCAATTAAATTGCCTCCTTGTTTTTGTACCTTGAGGGATATTTTATTCGCTAACATTAAGAACACTATGAAATACCATAAGCAGATTTGGAGTTAGCAGACTTAATTTGCCACACATCTTTCTTTAAATTTGAGGATAAGACTTACCTGCAGGGATGGGGTGTACCGATGGGTAGCCCTATGTCAGCTGTACTCTGTGATTTGGTGCTGTGTAAACTCGAAAGCTGTATCCTCCCTTCATTTCAAGAAGACATATTGGTTTACGCAAGATATGTAGATGATATCTTTATTTTGTGGAAAGATAATCGCCACACTAACCATTTTATAAATCTAATCAATAATAACCTGTATGGTTTAACACTGGAGCTGGAGCAAGAAAGCGGAAGTAATGTTAATTTCTTAGATTTATCTTTTACATGCAAAGAAGGGGAAATCAGAACAGATATATACCGTAAACCAGTTTATCTCCCTATTATTATCCCTAGAAATTCTGCACATCTGGAGCACATAAAAATGATGGTTTTTCATTCTTGAA